AAGTAATGTAAACATCAATAGTCAGTATGGTCAGTTTTAAGTCTTCCAGTCTGTCAGTCGGTCAGTTAGTCAGTTAGTCGGTCAGTCAGACAATAAGTCAGTTGTCATTTGGTCAAGTTAGTCGAATGCTTGTCTAATTGGTCAGTTGTCACAGTCATTCTAACTTATAAAGCTCACATTAATCTGAGTTTACACATCTTTTATAGAATAATAGATGACCACGGTCATTCATCCACCATCATCAGCTTATCACAGACTCATTGATTACTACTCCAATTGTTTAAACCTTGAAGAAATTAATTTATCAGTAAAACCACTTTAAATTAATCTTACCTAAAGCACTTGTGTAATAAGTGACAAAATGAATTGAGAGTTATTATAATATATATGAAGTAGGCCTGTATAGTCATTAAATTTGTATGAAGAATAGGTATATGGATAAAGTAAGGGGCATGGATGCAGAAGAAGGTTGTGAATTAGTTGTTGAGAGGGGTAAAGGCATGTTTTCCTAGTACATTGTGAGTCTTCAGATTTGGGGGGTCTCTTAAATAGCACTGTTTTCCACACTCCCACAAACTAAAGCATGTGCCTGTTAATTTAACATGTTTTTTTTTTTCACTGCTGTGTCATTGTCTTTTTTAGTTACTTTAGGTAAGAAATTGATGTATATATATATATTTGTACACCTATTATACTATAGTACTTTAATTGAAATATTCAATTAAAGTATATATAAAATATATATATATTATATATATATATAATATATATAAAATATTGAAAGTACTTCAACTATCTTACAATTCACAGGTTTATTCCTATCATTATTTATTCATTGAACATCTCAAGAAAAGATTAAACTTTTATATTCTTCAAGGCTGTTTGAAATACCATCATTCAAGTGAGAGGTGACTCTGACCTTGTTCTCTTCCACAAATAATTTTCTCACATTTTTAAAATTCATATTCATACTCTGCTCATGTTTTCATTATTTTCTCATCTGCATTTTTTTAATGTGTGCGTTTAGTTTCTTTGAACTGGTTTACTTTATGTTCGCGATGTATAGATGCCTTCGAGAGCTCCACAATGGCTGACTCACTTAGTATAACCATGTTCGCCAATTGACTGTTTTTGTACAAGATTCGCCAGTGTCATTAATGATTTATCTTCCGCATAGTTTTAGTGAAGTTTATGAATAGATGTGGTGTGATATATTGTTTAATATGATTAAGAAGTAGAGCATTGTATCTCCCCTTTATCCTTATCTTCTCAGATGTTAATAACCTATTGAAAACTTATTGTTATGTTTCTTATTGTATTTCAAACACAATAAATAGTTTTCTGATGAAGGAGTTGATGATTTTTGGTAAATTGATGTTAGTATTTTCACTATTATTTTATGAAAGAATGTAATTCCTATAAATAATATAATTCAAAAAATTCAATGAATATAATTAATATTCATTGAATTATATAAATAATAGGCCTATAATTCAATGAATATTAATTATATTAATAATTAAGAATTAATGTTATTTACAGCAAAAACATGAATTAAATACTACAATGATATTTTAAATGATTAAAATAATACTGTAAAATAATAGTTATATTGTCATAAATGATAAGAGGGTTAATGGTATTAATAACAATAAATACACATAATGATTAGATAATTTAATTAATATGGAGGTAGACCTTGGCATTCTTAAAACAAATAAATTATATTATAATTAACTACATTAGTATATTTAATCATAATTAAAATATAATTTGTATTTTTTATCTATTACAAAGGATTGTTGCATCATCTAGTAACCCATTATGATAAAGGAGCCCGGATTTAGATTAGTAAGTTACAGACAGTTGACTCTTGTTGCTTGTTGATCAATTAGATACACAATTGCGCTATACTAATGCCAACTTATTTGAGAATCACAGTCGAAGGCTGTTTTTGTATCAGTGGTTAATAATAACAAGGTACTGCAATGACTGTGACCGTAAAAGGAACCCCTGTTGTATTGTGTTCATATTTTTTATTAGTTGCAATGTTTGTTATTAATTTCTATTATATATACCTGAACTCCTCAACAACAGTTCTGTTCACAATAAAATCTAGGCATTGTTTATTAGTCTTTGTTACCTTTTCCTTTATACTGTATGACTGCTGTTTGATTTGTAAATGACGACAAAAGTCTCCAAGGGTAAGATTTATGGAACCTATATTTATATAAGATTATTTTTCTCTGTATACATGAATTAGTCTTATTGAAGCGCACATTGTGTTTCGCTGCCCCAAGCAAAGTCAATCACGCAGTGTGACTGCTTCTGTGTATAATACCTTTAGTACTTTTTTCTACAAATGATAAGAAATACAGAGACAAAGTAAATACTTCACCTTTTGTATATAAAAAAATAACCTTGCTCTGGGGGAGTTTCCTTTCTACATTTTTTGATTGTCACAAATTTGATTTTGTTATTGTGAATGGAGGGCACTTGTTTTGCCCGTAAGTAAGCTCAGTGGGCGCAACGTAGACTTCCGTCCAACCAAGGTCGGTGTTATTTGAAGGCACGCATGGATCACTCTTAATATCATTAAAGAGCGGCTTATATATTATCAAGTACGGGCGTTATTAGATCCGTTTATTATATAACTTCTACTCCATTTGTTCTTCTTAATTGGTTTAATTACGCATGTCAAAGTTCAGCCGGTTATCGACCTCAAAAGTACAGACTCTATTCTCAGGCGCAGAAAATAAATTATGTAAATTGAATTTGCAGCAGATTAAAAGTGTCAAAAAATGTTTCATTTATTAGCAGTGGGAGTTACACAAGTAATTTGTTAGAGAGATGTGACTCACTTGGTGCTGTTCTACCCCAGGAAACAGGCCACACTGCATAAATTAGAATTTATTGGAAAGCTATTCAACTATTGATATAATTTGGTCTGGAAAAGTAAGGTGATTTCAGGCAACCTCCAGGGATTGTTTGCTGGTAGTGTATGTCGTATACAGTTCTTGATGCAATATCGACGAGAATACTATAATATTACTTTAATAAAAAATAAAGAGGACTGCAATATATTTTGCAACATATTTATGGTTCTGAACATGCAGAAATAGGAAAGTGCTAGATTTTGATGCACCTAACAAAGACCAATGTGATAGCCCACGGAGGCTCAGTGGCCCCAGTTGGTTGATACAGTTTGCCTCCAATTCAAGACCACTTAGGGATATGAACATTTGGCGTGGTCTCAGGGTTCAGTTTCCACTTGGAGAGTTAGCTTTGTGTTAAAAGAATGATGATTGTTATCTTGAATTACAGGGTCTCAGAATGAAAGGGGTCTTAAATTTGAGGATGCACCTTAGTCTATAAATGATGGAAGAAGACCCAAGTTAAAATGTGTTTTTTCAGCCTAATATTTACCTCTTCTTTATCATTTACAATTCAATACATTACAGTATTTTCCATGTTTATTTGCATATTTTATCAATGATTGTGTTGAAGTGTGCTCCTTCTTTAGTTGATTTTTTATATTTTTGTAATTTAAGCTGAATGCACCACTCTGTGTGTGATGCCATTCCAAAGGCATATGTTCTCATATTAAATAAATGAATAAAATAAATTACTGCAATATTATATGTTAATCTCTTTACATTATAATTTTTTTAAAAGGCTTATATTTTCCTTTCAACTGCTTTTGTGCATGATAGGTCTACCATATATTCTTTACAGTACCAACTATAATAATATGTTGATATATGTAGCCTAACATAATATCACATCATATTATTGTATATTACAGTATGCTCTCTTGTATTAACACCTTCTTACTAGAATGATTATGAAAAAGTCTGTGTTTGTCTTTTGCTGTAAGATGTGAATAATGAACTTGGTTTGAATAAACAGTAAAGTACCTAAATGTTTGCCAATGGGATTAAGTCTGAATGTTTGCTGACCATGATGAAAACAAAAAGCCCTTGCTACTTGCCTAATCCTATCACAAAAAAGGCTCTAAATAACCTCCTACTACTTATACTATTTGAATAGAGAATGCTAGTTCACTCCCTCTTCTAATTTCTTACCCAGTGGCAATCATTTAATTATATTGATCAAGAACAATTTTAAAAAATAATATTTTGTACACCTGATAAAAACCCTCTAGGATGAATGTTGTTATGTTAGTATCACATGTTGCTAATCTAAAACATGCTATTTAATTTATGTATATTTTTGTTTTAGGCTTGTATTAGACTACTATGTTTTTTCTGTTATTAGTGTATATTGCGGAGGCTATAGAATTTGTTTTATTAAAATCAGATACGATTTATAACTAGTTAGACTTTTCAAAATACTATAGCCCACTTTAAAGCATGAATATTTGTATAAAAGTTTGCTACCCCGTCTCCTGTCTGAGTTGTATTAACACCTACTGTAGCAGATCTGGAGGGAGGAGGAGGGGGACTAGAGGCATGTTTTTATTATCTTGGCTACCTTTATTAAAAACAGCTAATGTGACCCTGCTTATACTATGTCCATTGGCAATCTTGGAACCTGAATGCCTTTATTAATGTACCCAATTCTACTGCGGTCACTTTGCACTCGATTACTATAAGTGTTCGCTTCTTGAGCTTGTGTTGAGAGATAACATAAAATATTCATATAAAAATTGCTAAATCTAGAGCTTAAAATCTGTGGATAATTTTTAAATCTTGTTAGTTGCACAACCAGTAAGCCAATATCAAACTGAATTATTCCTTTCTCACATTATTTTAGGAAAATGTCCTGCAAACAAGAGCAATAAAAACAATGGGTTTACACACCGCATCATTTGCCGTCAGTTTTACTGAGAGGATTGTCTTAAGGTAGTATTGACAGTCCAGGTAAGTATTTCATACATCTGTAATGTGTATAAATGAATATATGCGAAGAGATATCAACGTAATGGCAGTTTTGGCACGCCAGCTGGACAAATGTAATGCCAGTCTGATTAAGCACATGTGAAATTAAAGCTTGAGAGTCATTGGAGCAGTTTATGGAACGGGTGATGCTCGACTCGGCCTTACGCCTCGTAGGTGGGCATGCAGAACTTGAAGACATGTACATGGTTTCCATATTTGTTTCTGTGGTAACCCCCACGGGGTCATCTCGCAACAATAATTTTTATGTGTAGACATATTGGTGATGGATTTGAAATGAGCAATTGTATCTGAAGGCATATGTCCTATACAGTTTCTTTACACACTGGTACTTTATTTTTTATCTATTCCTTGGGAAATTACATTGAAACAAGGTTAACTTTTATGTATTTTTTATCCTAAAGAATTGGATGCCAGTGTTTCATTAGTTAGGCCCTACCAAAATTGAAGGAGCAGGGTCATTCAGACACTGAGGTATAATGACATCTTCAACTATGCTTTGAAGATCTTCTCTTTCTCATGTTTAGAAAAAAAAAAAGTATTGCCTTCTGAATAGCATTAACAAGCTAATTTTGTGATCATGTGTCTCGTCTTTCTTTTTGCTCTAGGTCATTAATAAGGACATTTTCTCATAACATTCAAAAACATTAGGCCTACTACGACGATAATGTGGCATTTTGTGTCATTATTTTCTCTCAAAATCCCTTAAATGGCATGCGTCACAGCTCTTTGAGCTGGTTACGATTAATCAACTGTTAAGCTGAGTGCATCATCTGGAGTAGATTTGGCTTCGCCAGAAAATATTAAAGAAAACATACGATGAAGCATTCACCTGAGCAATATCGCCGTATTACACAATTATATTTGCTTGTTCATGTTTTGAATGGTCTCGGCATTTATTAAAATTTATGTCATATGCTCTTTCAAATTGGGCTTAGATGAATCC